TGTTGGACTGCTTTCGACCATTTATCGGTAAGGTGGGCCAATGTAAAGAAGAGACTATGGCATAACGACCTCAGTTAAATGACACCGCATAGAGGATGGAATCGAACCTGAATAGTTCGATCAAGATTCAAACTTCGATGAAGGATAGGGGTACTGGGACGAGTATGATGAACGTCTACGGTAGAGGTCAACAAAGCACAAGACATGTTGCGGAAGGAGACTCCATTCTATTTGGTACATGGTTGGGACTCCAGGGATGTCCTCGAGGATTTGCTACAGTGGTCAATGTTAGACGTTGAGAATCTGGATCCCAAAGGTAGATGTATCGTATTTGGAGTGGTTATCAACGAGCAGGAGAACAAGTGAACGAGAATTTACGGGAAGTGAGTCAAGCTCGGATGCAAGCACACAACAAAGGAGTGGTCGACATCAAAATTAAACCAGAGACACAAGTACAGAATTACTTGGACCAATTGAACAAAGAATATGCCAGAAAACAGGTCCACCTTATCGACTTTGCCTTTCCAAAATCTGGAGCTAATTAGAGATTACGCGGTGCGAGTAAAAAACACGGGGTACGAAATACGAGTTATTTTCTATCGTGCATGTCTCTAAACTAAAGAGGGTCAGGGAGCTTACTGTCCGACCCAGTCATGTGCTGGTAATAAACGAGACAGACTAGGTTCATTTTGACGAATTAATGCTACCGGAAGATTGTTGGGTGCGCAATCGAAAGGAAGACGATTACGCAGACGATAGAATCCTGGATATTCGTACCGGTACGAAAACGCGCCACGGACGACAACAACGATACTTTTTGTCGAATCGAGAGCACTGCAGATCCGTCATGGGGGGATGAAGTGAACTTCGATTTAGAGCCTTACCCCGATATTTAGGCGTAAATAATTGACTTATAATCGGTTCAAGGTGATACAGAGTCATGAAGACTAGCAACGTAAGCTGTAAATCTCAAACGGTAGATATTGGTCGCTCCTTAGGAGATCTGGGACTAACTCAGTAGCCCTGGCTTCTCAGGGTCGACCTCGGCCGCTATATGTAAATTTTGACCCATCACGGTAGACCTAGATCTTTCGAGGTCTAGTAGATAACGGTCTATAAAGTCCAAAGTCGCCCCCTTAAGGATGATATTGTTTCCTCGAGTTCAGGTTATTCCTGGATAGTATAAGGGAGAAGAAAACATAAGTAGAGAAAATAAGAAGTGGGCGAACATTCAAGGTTAGACACATGTAAAATGAAGTATAAGCAGTTAAGCGGAGAAAACATAATCAGATCGACTGAACTTGTTCTGGATGCGAAAGGCCGAGGTCCCAGTGTGAGGCTCTGAAGACAACCGATACTGCGTCATCCATGACCACGAAGCGTCGGACACCAGAAGGGATTCCAACAGGTCGACCTATTTTTACACCTCTTCACGGCAGGGGAAATAGTATACCAGGCCGCGAGGCCGACAGAAGTGTCGGAAAAACGGGTCCAGAAAGATACCAAGGTCGCATCTACCCTCACTCATCTCCATAAAGATCACGGTGACCACTTTCCGCCACGCCCGATCCTCCAGTCCTCGACGCTTCTTCCGCGCGTTGTAGTACAAAACGAGGAATGTGTTCTTGCGCGCTTAATCGTTGAAATTTATTGGGATGAGTTGCCTCCAGAAGCGTTTGGATGTGGTCCTCATCAAAGCGGGTTTTGGCCGTGGCCAGCTCAACGGACCAACCCACAGGTCAAAGAGCATGGCCGAAAGCGGAACACAGGCGAAAAATCAGAGCTTAGCAAACAACCGTTTCTTAATCATGGGGAAGTTGATCAACGAGGGTTGACCCTTGGAGGAACGGTAGACATTTCCATCCGATTAACCAAACCAACCCCACTTCATCTCCAGACGGTCGATCAAGGCGTTAGCGCTTATCGTACTAATGCTCCAGAAAACGACGATGCCGACCAAAGAAGACGCCGACTCGTCCGCGGAGAAGCTCTTCACCCGCATTAAACCGTGAATGATGGCATTCCCGGGGTAGCAATCTTGGGTCACTGGGTGTCGAATTGTAGCCTGTAGCCTCAAGAGCAGATTCTTCTGCGGGACCAACTAGATATCTGGATTAGAAGACCCAAGAATATCCCGTTTCTACGATACACTTGGGGTGGGGACTGTATCTGCGGAAAAAGTGGTCTTTGGAGGAGGAAAATCAAGGACAGATGGACGTAGGTAGGAGAGCAGAAGACCGCGACTTGGCCACAGTTGCTCACACCACCTCGCTCATCTGCGAGTCCTTGCATGAGCACAGTAATCAACGTGTGTTCATAAACTGATTTAGCAGTTATACTGTCGCGAGGAGTCGTATTTGTTGCGTGGAAACTGTAAAATCACTCTTACCCTGCTTGAGTTTCAGGAGCCCTGATCGATTTCAGCCCGCGGCGGTTTAAACATTTGTTTAAGCCGGGTATTGAAGGCTTCTAGCGACTGGAAAGCATATGGATCGCTCATCTCCAGCCCTGAGGCCCAAGTCTTGGCACGTCCTGCGAAGTGGGTCTGAGCAAATGTGAGTTTCATTTGCTCATCTTCAATACGACGTGCCATTATGGCTCTGTCTAGTTCGACGAACCATAACAACAGGGAGTCTTCCTCGACTCCTCTGTACTTGGAGATGTCAACCTACAAGGTTCCGGGACGACGCGTGAGTGTCGCCCCACCCACAGCAGCATTATATTGTTGCTGTCTTAACATCTTTGTGCACTGTTGAGCACTGAGTTCTCTCAACTACTCGGCCTGTTGAGAGCCTTGCTCGTGAACCAAGGCTAACTTCTCACTTTCGGCTACAAGTTCATTTAATCAAATTGGCTATAGCGTCATGTTGTTGGTCTGTCAAGAGACTTCAACATGGCGCTAATGGAGTTTTCGCCTACGGTAGATTTCATACGTTCTTCCGCACTCCATTCGGTATCACTTAAATGGTTATAGGCTTCACGCGTGGCGTGGGAGCTTTCCTCTTCATTTAACATGGTCATGTCAAATGAGGTGGTCGTGGTCATTAGACGGACTACAAAGTGCTACCAGGTGTAACGGGGAACGCTCTTACCAGATGACTGGTAAGACCTTGTGTTGAATGAACACAAGGCTGCGTACTCCCGACGTCACGTGAACGTGCCGTGAGGATACGCGAGAAAGTAAGCAAAACTCGGAAGCTCTGTTTAAGGGAAAAAGTAGAACTGTATCATAATATAGTTATGGTTCTATAATAACCCATCTTTGTCTTTGTCTAACTATATTAAACTACAATCTCCTATGTGGGTTTGTTACTCACCACCCATTGCGCGCGTCCTGCAGCGATTGGCGGTTTGCTTGATGTACCGTGTACATGAACCAATAAGTGGAGCCCCCAAAGGATATTACTCTTCGGGGTAATATTCCGTCAACATCACCTCTTGTCGAGTGATGTTGATTAAATATTATCGAAATGGATAATATTCAAAAATCGATACATTCGTACCAATTTTTATGTAACGGGCTCACCCCGTTGCAATGATGGTGCCACACTAGTACATGTACACAATGTTCATATCGATGACGCAAATTTAGCGAACGCCGTTGTCATCTCAGATCAAACGAAGTATTACACTTGCTGCTCAAATCATGTTGCAGTAAGTACCTTCTGCTCATTCGTGTGCCTGTAAAGCTAAGTGCGGATTCGACGTTATGGTTGTAGGAATCGCTTCTCCAGTCTCATATGGTTCAAACGCAGCAACGTGCTCTAGACAGCAATCGCGATCGCGGCCTTTTGAAGCGTTACGGCCGCATCGACATTCGTCTTGATCAGTGCTACAGCTGTCCTTTCCTAAACAGAAGTTGCATTGCGGCATGTGCCACATGAGAATGGATGCACCAGCTAGTCGACCACTCCGATCTGCGCTATTAATACATTCGTAACATGTTGATAAGCTCTGTTTGACGATCTTTTTTGCACACACATATCTACATGGTGCGTTCGTCGACCGTTAGACAAGATGGAATCGTGGGTGCGCGAAACGGAAGGATGTCTTGCCGCAGCTATTTGCGACGCATTGGCAGGAACTCCCTTCTAGCTGCATTATGTTGGCGTAACAAAAGATTCGTATCAATTTATACGAAAAACAAGAGCCTTTTCGAATGTTTCCACACGTGCCATGTTGGAGCTGCTATTGAGGTGCTATTAAGAACCTGCAGTGCCACTTTCGAGCTCCACGTGATGCTCGGACAAGCTCATGCTTTGACGATATCGTCAAAGCCGATCACGCGATTGGTGCGCCGAATGTTTGAATCGTGCCAGTGACCATTTTGCACTTAGAAGATGCCGAGCGGTGCCCACCTCAGTGTATTCTTGAAACTAATCTATTCCCAGCTTGATAAAAATAACTTAGTGCCCCCACACTTATCCGGCGCGTTACATAAGTCTGGCGCATTTTGATGGGGTCTGCCTGCCTAAAATAGAGCACACTCCGCGCGTCGTCGGCGTGTTGGTCGTTCGGTTGAAATGGTGTGCGAGCTGTGTGCACAAGCCACGTGGCTCGCCTGCGCGTGTCGTACAGTGCCCGTCGTGCGGTTGTACCATCCAGCACTGCATACCCTCTCATTCCCGATACAGTCGGTCGAGACAGCTGCTTCTCGCTCCCACCAGCCATACCACCTCATCTTTCGATATCCTCGTCTTCCCCATCCCACCGACCACCGCGATCGTCGCGCGGTCGTGGCCCTCGCACTTAAGCGGCGGCCCCACGTCCACGTGGCGATCCGACCTCGCCGTCAATCACCGGGCCCCACGACGCCCCTCGGCCCCCTCACTCGGCATTCGAGAAAGTTCGCTTGCCTCCCATCCCGCGTCGCCCCGACCGTCACTCTCGCTCACTTTTGGTTTCCCCGACCATCACTCTTGTCCGCCCGCGCCCTCCTCGGTTTCCCCGACCATCACTCTCTCCCTCTCCTTCGTTGCCATTTGCCCGCTGCGATCCCCATGTTGACCCGCCTCGTCGTCGCGCTCGCTGCGGCCGCGGCGTCGATTGCTGCGGCCGAGACGGTCTTCCGCGAGACGTTCGACGACGACGACTGGGCCTCGCGCTGGGTCGCGTCGACGTGGAAGCCCGCGGACGAGGTGGGCAAGTTCGAGCACGTCGTGGGCACGTACTACCCCGAGTCGGGCGCTGATAAGGCCATCAAGACGAGCGAAGACGCGCGGTTCTACGCGCTCACGGCCAAGTTCGACGCGCCGCTGGACAACAAGGACAAGGACGTGTACCTGTCGTACCTCGTGCAGCACGAGCAGCGGCTCGACTGCGGCGGCGCGTACATTAAGCTGCTGCCGGCCGACGTGGACCAGTCGAACTTTGGCGGCGAGTCGCCGTACGCCGTGATGTTTGGGCCCGACATTTGCGGCGCAGAGAAGAAGACGCACGCGATCCTGAGCTACGCGCGGCCTGGCCATGAGGTCGAGAACATGCTGCACAAGGAGACGCTGCGGACCGAGTCGGACTCGGACCCGCACGTGTTTTCGTTTGTGTTGAAGCAGGACAACACGTACGAGGTGCGGATCGACGGCAAGAGCGTCAAGGCGGGCGAGTTGGCGGCCAACTGGCCGTTCCAGCCCGAGAAGGAGATCCCGGACCCCGACGTGGAGAAGCCGGCGGACTGGGTGGACGTGCAGAAGATTGCGGACCCGGCGGCCGTGAAGCCCGCGGACTGGGACGATGCGCCGCGCGTGATCCCCGACCCGTCGGCCGTCAAGCCCGAGGACTGGGACGACGAGGACGACGGCGAGTGGGAGCCCGCGATGATTGAGAATCCTGCGTACAAGGGCGAGTGGAAGGCGCCGATGGTGGACAACCCGGCGTACAAGGGCGAGTGGGTGCACCCGTTGATCGCCAATCCCGAGTACTTTGAGGACGCGGCCATGTACAACGTGGTGAAGAACGTGGGCGCGATCGGCTTTGAGCTGTGGCAGGTCAAGAGCGGGACGTTGTTCGACGACATTCTCGTGACCACGAGCGAGGCGGAGTTCACTGCTCACGAGGAGAAGGTGATGGAGAAGGTGGACGAGATGCTGAAGCGGAAGAAGCAGGTGGAGGACGAGGAGAAGGCGAAGCGGGAGGCGGAGGCAAAGGCGGAGGCGGACGAGACGGAGGAGAAGGAGGGTGAGGACGCAGTGGACGAGGATGCGGAGGACGTGGACGAGGAAGAGGGTGAGGAGGAGGACGAGGAGGACGAGGAGGAGGATGAGGAGAAGGCGGCGGAGGAGTCGAAGAAAGTGGAAGAAGAGAGGAAAGCGGCGGAAGTGAAGAAGGTGGAAGCAGAGAAGAAGGCGGAAGAGGCGAAGAAGGCGGCGGAGGAGGCGAAGCAGGCGGCAGAGGAGGCGAAGCAGGCGGTGGAGGAGGCCAAGAAGGCCGAAGAGGAGAAGAAGGTGGAAGAGGAGAAGGCGAAGAAGGACAAGAAGAAGAAGAAGGCACAGAAGAAGAGCAAGAAGAGCAAGGCTGCGAAGAAGGGCAAGGCCGCGAAGAAGGACAAGGCCGCGAAGAAGGACAAGGCCGCGAAGAAGGACAAGGCCGCGGAGGAGGAAAAGAAGGACGAGCTGTAGACGATTTGTGCATCGTTACCCAATAAACATGTTGTTTTTCCAGTGGACGCTGTGGAGCTGTTGTTGTTGCAGCTCTTGCTTTGAGCAAGAGCGTAGAAAATGGGGACGTGCTATTCGTTGCACCTTCGGAATAGGTTGCACCGCATTGCAGTTTTTGCGCTGTCATAGCTCCTCATCTGGTTCCACACTACACTTTGATCTCTGCTTTCGTCTGCGTTTGCAAGATACGACTTAAACCATTCGTTGAGTCGGCAAGTAGCAGTTCGATTTTACAGTCTGAAGAGTGTGTGCACGAGGAGACGTTTGTCATTGGGCTCGATTGGACCGTATCTGGATGAAGAGATCTGCCTATCGCCACCGATGCGTCACGAAAAAGTACGCAGGGGTGCGGTACTGCGAACGACGCACCACACATGTGTCATCACGGACGAATTCAATGATCTCTTATAAACTTACAATCGCAATCATCGCACTGCTTCTACATACTGTGGGCAGTTTTCGCACATACAAAATTGCTGCAGCCTCATGTCGCTGCAAACGTGACGAGGCAGACGGCACCCACGAGCATACAGTGCAGCGAAATGAGCGTGAGGAAGACGTAGAACAACTTGATCGTGCGCTTGCCCACGCACTTGCCCGTCCACGGACAGTGGTGGTCCAGCTGCACAAAAAACACGCACAACAACAGCAATACACACCACCAGTTACACACAATTGGCCCACACCTCATCAACATCTGCTCACACGCCTCTGCCCAGTCCATTAACCCGACACATTTTCCACCGACCTCTCGGACGCACACGCCACAGTCCGAGCAATGCGACGCATCTAACGGTCGTCGGACCTCACATTGAGCTGCCCACCACACACCACAGTACACCAAACATACACCATTTTTGCTCAGCTTCTATCCGTCTCACCCACACAACAGCAGAAAACATATACAGCACAAGAAAACATACAGCACACGAAAACATACAGCACAAGAAAACATATACAGCACACGAAAACATATACAGCACAAGAAAAAACAACACAGAATATACAGGACACGAAAAAAAACAAGACAGGATAGACAGCTGAAAACCCCACGTAGCCGAATCAGAAGACAGCTTACCACAGACAATGCCCGTCTCGCCGTCCTCGACGTCCGTGTCCACGTCGTGAAACACGACGCCCGGGTCACTGCACGCGACCATCGTGAGCGACACCGTCGTGAGGCACATGGACGCGCACAGTGCGACTTGGAGCCCCAGCAGCAGCTCGTCGACAAGCAGCACGAGAACGACAAACGGACCAATGGCGAGACAGTACGTGACCAAGAGACAGCCCCAGTGCGGTCCAACGTGGCACGTGGTGGGAAAGTACCCGTAGCGGTCGTGGCCGAGCAGCGAGCAGAGGACGCGCGTGTGGCCAAAGCGGACGCAGCAGCGACGTCGCGCGCGCGCGAGCGAGTGGCGGTGGTATCTGCTCATGCGGTGCGCGTCACTGTCGTTAAGGGCGACGGGAGGGTCGTCGTGTATCATACTGTTTGATTCGTTTGTTTGTTTGGTTGGTTGTTTGTTTGGTGGGTTTGTTGGCCGTTTGTTTGGTTGTTTGTTTGGTTGTTTGTTTGGTTGTTTGTTTGTATGGTATTGGATTACAAAGCGCGTGTGGACGTTGGCGTGGCGATGGTCCGACCTCTTGTTTTGTGTTTGATACGGTTTTATCCCGTCGGCGTGAATCGAACAAACAAAGATAGAGATGTAAACAATCGATCTTCTCTCGTGTTCTTTCGCTTGTGGGGACAATAGGGACTGACTGTACTGTTGTCAACTCGATATTTATGGGTGGGCAAATAGGTCTGGTGGATAGCTTCGTGTTCTCGAGCAGAGTTGTGACACTCCCTTACGCCGTGGCGTCGATCGTTGCGTGGACAGGTACATCTTACATCTCTCACATCTTGTCAACTGGTCTCTTGCGATGCAACGATCGTCTATTTTGTTTACGCCACGCCGTTTGCCTTCTGACTCGTGGGTACGTGTAGTGTGGAGTTTAACAAACGGGTCTGTTTGAAACGCCTTCTGGTCGCGAAAAATCTCGAGGAATAAGTGATCCAGTCGAGCGTCGTTTGTCCTGCTTTTTTTGCCTGGCGAACGAATCTGTCGGTATAAGTAGGAATTCAGGATACGCAGATTCGTGCAGCCCTTACGCTTTTGAGCGTATGCTGACCCTATTCACACTAGCGCTGTTGCTGCTGCTTCTTCTATGAGTTAGAGACTGCTCCGACATGTGCACAAGTGATCCATTAGTATCATTGGGATGACATTAATGCAGCGAGCTGAACGGTTGTAATTACGTCCACAGAGAGGTGGCATCATTCATGCACAGCCACGAGCAATCTGCAAGACTTGTTGCAATTTTGTAGCGTACGACAACGATTAGTTGTTTGGACTTTGACACCCGTTTGTCTCCTTCCACGGTCTCCCACGGTCTTCCTCTTTCCTGCTACACGCGTATCCTAAGTCTGCTGACGAAGCCAAATGACTGCATTATTCGATAAAAGTGACATGGGCAGTATCGTTATCGGTTGAGCATTGCGTGGAAGTTTTGGATCATACGTAGTTCGTTGTTAGAGATGCTGTGCGGCCAAAGAAACAATCATCACCGGCCATAGGGGTTCATGCTTGAGCAGCTTCCCCGAAAGTCCCGTCGACACCAAAGCCATTCGATGAAGCGGCTACGATTGCGGCAATATACACACACACACACATCTATAGCCATGCGTTTCCAAGAGTGTGTTTGCAAGGTAACAACCACTTGTGCTGCTTGCAACCGGATGGAAACGCGATGCTGCGGGTCGATAACGAGGAACAAGGTATACATGTTATTTCTTCCCATACCTCGTGGCATCTTGACATGATGCCACATCCATCTCCACCCGCACCAAAGTACCGCATGGCCACTTTTCTCTCGCCTGCCAATTCCACGAAATGAGCTATCGCTCATGTCACCACAGCGCACAATTTCCATCGAGTCTGCTTCATGCAGTCATTGCAACGATTTGCTCGTTTTTCACATGGAAACGACGCGCAGTCCCGTGCCAATGAGGACCAGCACCGTGCCAAGCGCCAACGTCTGGAGGTTCTGCGTGCCTTGAATCTCCTTGAAATAGCCAGCCGACCAGAGCATCGACACCATAGCGGGGCCAATGGAGCTAATGGGGAAGATCTGGTCGAAACCCAAGGCACCAATAGCATAGAGCTGGCCGCACAAGCCAATGCCCCACAACACGCCGCAAATGTACGCGGGACGCATCACACTGCGCGGCATCGATCGCTTGAGCACGAACCGGTGGAAGAGCGAATAGAGTAGGAACACGATCGTGCTCGTCAAGTAGATGCCCAAGCACTGCGAGAAGACAAAGTTCAGCGGATTGCACGTCTCCTCAATCGGGCTGCGAAGCGCAGGATTCGACGGACGGCAGCGGTTGTTCCAGTTCACAAACGGCACGAGGCAGCAGCTCAAGAACGCGCCCACAAGCAAAGCCACCGCCATGCCAAAGACCTTGCGCGTTTTCTCCGCCCGCGCGTCCGCCAGTTCCGTGTGCTCGCCGACTTCATTCGGCATCATGAAGGGTCCAAAATTCGGCAGCTCGGGGTGCACAAGCGCCTCGTGCAATGACTCGCGTCGAGTGAGCGTAACACTCGTGAGCTCAGCGCTCTTTGCAAACTGCGGCAGCAATAGTGACCTTTCTCCTGCCGGACTGTCTGTGCTCTTGTTGCTGCCATTGCTGCCCCAATGCCCTTTGGCTTCCGAGTCCTGTCCGTCGCCATCACTAGTACAGTCCGCTCTGTCGTACATTGCGCCTCGTCTGTTGGCTGTCTTGGCTGCCTTGAGCGTCGGCTTGATCGTGCCGTAGACAGCAATGGACGCCAGCATGAAGGCAATGCCCAAGAGACTCGTGTACGGCATGGAGGGGATCGTGGGGGCCACGCCAAAGAGTCCGAGGCGAGAGACGCAGTAGCCAAGTGTGATGTTGGCCGCGTTCCAGAGCATGAACCCGACCCCGAGGCCGAGTGTATTGACGACCGTGGGGATGAGCAGATTGGCAATGGCGAACAGCGCACCGCCCAAGAGGCCTTCGGGGAACGTGAACATGCCCGAGTGGGAGTACTGCGACCAGTTGTTGCTCAAGAGGCCCCAGACAAGTCCCACCATTAAGATGCCCGAACACTGCAGTCAAACACACACACACACATACACACATACACATACACACATATACAGATAGAGATGCAGAGGCATCGACATTGAGTTTGTGAAGCAGTTTGGGAAGACACGACCATCAAGTTGAAGTGGTATGCATAGCTATAACATCGAGAACGCTATTGACGAGCACAGATAGACTGCGATTGTTCATGGGGATACAAAAAGATTAAGATAGGAAAAAGAGAATAGGGGAGGGACAGTACGACGGTCGATGTCCAACTGTATCGAATAAAAAGATGTAGCCATGATCTGAATTAGTGCGTACCATAAACCACTGGAAGATGATGCCATCTGTCACAGGTTCAGATTACGTGTACCACACACGTAACAAGTACGTCAGCAACGGGACCCGATACAGCGAGCGAGCGAGCGCGAGACAGAGAGAGAGAGATCGAGACCGGACACGGGTATACGTATAGCAAACTCGCGTACCATATGTGGCATACGTCTTGGCAGGCACGTAGCACGTTCCAAAGAAAAAGACCGCGACGGTTGCAGCAATGTAGCCAAGTACCACTTGATCGCTCATGAGTGGGGCGAAAGGGGGACTAAGACGCGAGTGGTGACGTCCACTGAACTTGAAGTGGGACCCGGGCCGTGGCGGCTTCATTCGGGTTGCTAGAGAGCAGGTTTGGGCTTGGGTCGAAACGGGTTTCGACCCGCAATCGGTGGTAGCTGTGGGTTGCGGAGGTTTGATTGGGTCTGTCGAGTCTACGAATTACATGTAGGAGTGATTGCGCAAAAAGCTACCTTTTAGCTGAGGATGTTTATTATTTATGCGCTATTTATCGGATTGCCGATAACGACATGGATGCGGATATATTGAACATCCCAATGACAGATAGAAACAGCGCGGCAGAGACCCAAATATTTGTGCACCAAAATGCGACTTACAACTGTCTTTTTACATTGCAGCAGGAGCAGACAGAAGACAAACGATAAACAGGACGCACAATAGTCGAGTGAGATATCGTTCCGACGACATTGAGATGCACAGTCCTGCAATAAATCTTCATTGTACAATTCTAGCTACCGAGCACGAAGGTCATGCCTTCCGCATGCGATCACAGAAGACACTCGTGTGTTTCATATACTGCTCGGAACTAGTGGGGAAATATCAGCAAAGCGTCGAGAGTGATGCAGGCCGTTCGAATGAAGCGGCTGCAGGTGGTAGCAACGAAATACGTGTGACTCAAGTGTGCATACATTGCAAATTGATACTTGTGATGATGTGTGATCGATGTCGGATCCGTTGGGGTCTCACATTTGACGGTGGTATACATAATCGGGTGCTGGTTTTTTGTTAGAAGGAGCGCAACATTTTGTTTCCAACATCACGAATCGCTTCGATGTGGTAACGGTCTGAGCATTCTCCTGATAGCCGACCTGTACACATCAATTAGTTCGTTTACAAAGGTGCAGTGCTGGCTGGCCATCTTGATGACAAGATAAGCATTGTGACTTGTCTCTCGACATATCCGATTTCGCAGGCGTTACACAGAAGTGTGATGTAAACAAAGCAGCAGCAACATGCTTCAGGTACAATGAAAGTCACTGCATTCTATTCGTCACAATGCGAAGTGTGCGCACTTGGTCAGGATCATGAACATCTACCTTTCACTGCCAAGATAGAATCAAGCTGCTCACGCGTGTGATATTCGAGAGCTACTCCATTATGCTGTCTTAATTCCGTTCGCGCTCTTCCAACCTCAACGCGATTGACCTGGTCTCTACTAGCCATATAATGACTGTTATTAACAAAATGCTGCATAGCTAGATGCGATAAGCGTGGGTGCAAGGACAGCTCATTGTGGATGTGAGCGAGCCTGCAAATGAGATGCAGTTCGACGCACTCGGGTGCACTTTGCCACAACTATTTTAGATCTCGACTGGCAAGCTCCACTTCTCAAGCAGCAGATCATTGTCATTGCATGCTGGCTCTGATTTAGTCCTGCTTGTCCTAACGTTCCTTAGGCAACGTGATTGGTGGTGCAGGACCATCCCTCCATCTTTACTGTGTACTCAAGGTGGTAACAGCGGGACTGAGATAAAGTTTATAAGGAGTCAATTTCGAACAACTGAACATGATCTGATAAGGAGTTGCTGGAAAACCAAGTTTACCTCGTTGTTGTTCTTGCCAAGTCAGAAGCAGTGATCGCATCGATGAATGCGGAAAGCCATGCACGGCTTATGCAATGATCCCTCAATCTAATTGTCATATAAACTGCTTGCGCGATTGAATATAATAATGTCGATGGTGAATTCTAAACGGACGAACGTACACATGCCTGTGGTCATCGAATGAATTCTTCGAATACATATCACGAAGAGTTGTCGACACTGAACATGAACTTAAAACACGAGGTCATAGCCGCTGCTCGTCCTATCATAAAATTGAAACTAGACAGTCGTTGTCACTTGTAGTTGAAAGTGTGTTGTGAATAAAGCTTCCCCAGTACCGTGCAAACGTAGACTATTTACTGCCGGGTTACCATTATTGTCCATGTGTAACATGTATAAAAGCATGAAGACGCAGATTAAAGTACGTCTGCTCAGACCCATATTTTTAGAAAAAATGGGTAGCAGCGAAACATAATATATATTATCAACTTCTTTGTAGTAGGTTAAATGATATACGTGGACGATTTCTATGCATCACATTGTGTATAATCTTAGCTAGATTTTGTTCACGAACAAACGTCTTCTATTCAGCCGAGGTCTATACGTCTTGCTATCCGTACGTTTCATAATTATTTTCAATCTCAATTATTGAAGATCAATTTGATTTCAATGTAGTGTGAATTGTTTTTATATGTTGAGCCAACTTTTGGCGTATTAGGTAATGTAAATACAATCAGAAATGTCATTTTTGTAAAATAAGTGGGAACCCTTATGATGTATGACAGTCATTGCTGCTTAAAGATTAAGGGGAATGTAAGAAATGATCTGGCGTTTATTTCTTACCGCTCTTTGAAAACAAAGAAACATAGTTTACAAAGAAAAGTACTCGTGGAGACCACAGTCCACTTTACCACTTGCGTAAAAATCTTCGGCCTTCTCTACCACACGCCCTGTGCGCAGTCTTGTGAGCCAAAACTCTTATAAATAAATCACGGCTTTCGACATCAATTGCAAACATATTTTTGCTGAAGTTGTTGACATGCCTTTGCATTGCTGCGCTCGTTCAGACCCACGCACTCTCGTGTGCGAATCACTACTTCGCGCAATAGGTTAGTGCACAAGGATTCCTAGCAGCCGATCGACAAGTACAAAAGATCGTATGAGGTGGTCTCGAGCAGAGCGCAATCGTCCGCATGTTCACTACATTAAATATATGATGCTGCAAGCCACGCGTGTGATCAATCGTACATGATGTCACAAAGGGCTGAAGCTTCGTTGTACCCACGCAGCCATTGCGTGGACATCCAGATGACTAGACGTGCCTATCAGTCGGCAGATGCACCGGATAACAAGAATCAAAGTGGGTCAGAGCATCGGGCGTTATCGCCATGTACTGATCATATGGCGGCACCTCGTAGCTCATGGAAGATTCAGTTGTGCCCACCACCGGTTGACCTTTCGTTGCTTATCAAGACACAAAAGGCTGACATGTCGTCTTACACACCAATGCGAGCCGAGTTTATAGAAAGCGAGACGCTTTGATTCCGTGAGCCACAAGACGAAACAAGCTCAACTTTCTTCTGCGATATCCTCAGCGCTGCTATCGTGTTTCAGCATCTGTCGTTTGTTCATGACAGACATCGCAGTAGAATAACGGCACACACACACACACTGGTGGTATCCAAACCAGCATCTCTGCAGGTCTACCGAGCTCTGGCTGTCGTGGTGTAACTTGTGCCTTCGATGCCTTACTCAAACAGAAAACGAACCCGTGAAAGTCACGCGTACCTCTACAGGTGGCAATGACAAGTACGTATCGCCACGACCGTCGTTTGAGCAATGGCTGTATCACAAAGGAGATCCATATCTACACAACTACGTTCGTCTTTGACGACTACATACTCCACGCGATCGTTCTACGCAACGTCTAGACGGACCATCGTCTCGCACCCAGCAACGATGGCCTCGAACGACCCCTTACACGCAGTCTCACTCTATACAGTGCTGACCTCGACCCAGCCGTTGTACAAGTGCTCTGTCGCGAGACACTTGCGATTCGTGCAATGTTCCTCCTGTGGTCCTCTGCGCACGGGGCGTGCTACACGTCGATCGTCCCGGAAGTAAACTCGATCCACTGCGGAGCGTCTCAATCGACGACCTTTTCTCCGCGTAGCGACGACACCTTCTCAGAACAGAAATGGATGGGTCGATGAACCACATGGGGCGCATTGGTCTCAGTGCATGTGGTTTCTCAGCCTTGTCGACTTGTTGTGTCTAATTCGTCCTGTCGTGTGCTACGACGCAGTAGTGCTGATGCAAGAAGAGAGTGCCTTTCAGGTCAGCCACACGCGCGGGCGCGTTCACAGCGCGCGAGAACACTGTCGCATGCATCTGCTCCAGACTGCAAGTAGAAAGCAGTGTCGAGAGTGCTTTTCTGCCGATTCCAAACGAGCAGAAGCGATCGCTCGAAAGCGGCGGTCCCGGGCAGAGAGTCGTCGCAAGTGCCGTCTGTTCGCGCGTGCGCACGAGAGAGAGGCAGCAGTGTGTCCCAAGACCCCTTTGCCCATCCTGCCCGCTCGAAATTTCCAGGCGACTTCAAGTGCGCTTTTCCATGTGTGAGTGTGTGTGCGAGAGCAGAGCATACTCTGAGGATTCTGCAGAGGCGCTGGCGAAGGCTAAAACACGCAGAGCGTTTCGCAGACAACAAGGGCAGAGGCGGAGGTCCGTTTGCAGGTGCACTCTCCGCTCGCTGATCTGTTGCAGCCGAGTCCATGAGCGTTTTCGCTGCCTTCTGTTCCCTGGAAAAGAGCCGCTGGTTTCTGGCTCAATGACCACAGCCCGTGATCCCCTTCCTCGCTCCCAATGTCCCACGACGGGACCTGGTCGTATGGTGTGTGTCTGTCTGCCCAGCAGAAGATGCCGCGCAGACGACCAGAGGGAAACGCGTCAGGTTGGACCAGACGACGACCAGGAGCAGAGGGGGAGGCTCGTGCACGCAGAGGGTTCCTACTGAAACCCAGAGAGAAACGATCGGCAGGCGCAGGTCGTAAACATCGACTCTTTTTTTGTCTCGCCTCGGGACGACGACCACTCGATACACGACGACGTCCTGACGGTCCAGACACAACAAGTCGACAGGGCTGGAAACCATGTGCACTGAACCCGATGGATTCGCCCTGTTCTTGATCGTCGTGTAAAAGCCGTAATGACACCATGTCAAGTGCACAGCCACACTGCCATGTTGCACTCAGATACCGCGAAAGGTGCATCGAGAGGGATACTAAAAGCAGAAGAGGGACAGATGACCATTTCTTCATTCCTTTATGCCCAGAGAACGTGTCGTCGAGCCGCTGTTCCCCATCCCAAGCAAGTTCCTGTCCGGTCCTTACGTCTCCATATGACTCTCAGTCTTGTCGGGGCGACAGCGTCTCGCAGAGCCAGCGGAACTATGTATAGGCGAGCGCACACCACCGACCCACCCGACGCCGACGACCTGTCAATCACGAATCTGCGTCCTCGTGCTCAAGTTGTCTGGACCTTTTCGCGCTTTTCGCTTCTCACCTGCCACTTCCTGCCCGAGCGTGTGTGAATAAAACCAAAGTCCCGTTCACAATGCGCTTCCACTCGTCCCTCGTGCTGCCGCTTGCGGTCTTTGCTGCCTGTTGCAGCGCCGATTCAACGGCCGAGCGCCGCCTCCGGTCGCAAGACGCCGGTGAGGACGCTGGAACGCCTCCGAAGATGGACATTTCCGTGCTGAGTAATGTGCCCGAAGATCAGCTGGAAAAGCAAATTCGCAAGTTCGTCAGCAAAGTGCCGTTGCCCGAGGGCATTACTGAGGAGCAGATGGTCAAACTCACGCTCAATGCGCTGGAGAGGGCGAAAGAGGACGGGAGCTTTGCCGAAGAGCTGCAGCATAAGGCAGAGGAAGTGCAGAAAAAGATGGAGCAGGCGAAGAAGAGGAAGCGACAGGAGGAGGACGGCGGCGACGAGGAAGACGAGGGCAAGGAGGACGAAAAGAGCGCGAAGAAACCAAAGGTCGAGGAGGAGGACGAGAAAGAATAGGAAGGCGACTTGGACTAGGAGAGCACAAGACAGGAGCGCGTAGTTGACAGCACCATACGTGGCCGCCAAGTTGGTCTTCAGCTCACTCTACTTCTCATTATCTCTTGCTCTCTCTCTCTCTATTGGGGCCGACTGACTGAGCGAGCGCACTCAGCTGTCCATTGTGTAAGTAGCTATCACTTTTTTTTCCTCGAAACAACTAAAACGAAAACAAAAAACTCTGCTTGAACTTTACTTTTGTTTAGTCGCTCGCAAAAATGAAGCGCACCACAGTCAGTATTGCACTTTTAGGAGGGGGAAGCAGCGACTGCTGCTCGCACATTTGCGGCCTTCTCCAAATGAGCCTTTCAACACTGTCCTGTTCTCTGTAGCAAAGACTCGCGAGCACAATGGTCATTGGCAGGAGACTTATCTACACGGCGTCTATGTTTCGACTGGACAGCCTGATCGCCTCTCGAAGCAGCAGCAGCACCAACAACCCGTACAAAAGGTGCCGGCTTTTGTGTTGGGTAGTGCTGGCTTGATGATTTGGGTCATCACGATAGCGAAGGCATACAATCAAATTGTGCTCGATAAACAACAGGTGCCTGCACTGAGTGAGTTGATAACACAGTCGGTCGAGTCCACGACAATTCGTACATTGTTTAGCAGCTTGAGTTTGCATGGGGATAAGTAGGAGACCTTATCTTTACGCACGTTGCACACATTCGCTGCCAATGCAGGAACACAAACCTGTTTGTACATATTGTTTATCGACATGATTAGTGGACGTGTAGTTGCCTGAATAGCGGGTCAGACGCTAGCATACCCGACACGTTTGTGTCTCCATCCGAGCGGACGTGGTTGTTGCCGACTTTGAAATGCCTGGCAAATACGCACTGAGAACGATGATACGTTCTTCAATCGGTGTCTGGACAGCAATGTGCGAGATTGGACTATTGTACCAAGTCGCGCGCCACTTATCTGATGATGTGGATACTACGTTAGCGCGCGGCCTCCATGTATACCTTTGCGCGAGAAACACTGAACCCGTTGACAATTGTCTGCACGTTCCTATTTGCGTACAGTGTTCCTACTACTGAATGGACAAGACGTATGAGTGTAGCTCCGCTTGGCGGTTGCTGCAGCATGTCATTACGACATTCGCTTGTGCGTTGGCCACGACATAGATACGCCTCGTAAAACTCTTTTCGCTCGGTCACCCGAGTCGTGGTTTGGTGGAGAAGTAGGAGAAACGAAGGTTTGTGTGGGTAGTCACTTCCTTGGCCCGTCGTTTGGCAGTACAATGCTCCGAGTTGCACAAGGAGGTACTTGTCGCTGCGTAAGCGTATCTTAACCATCGATATGTAAAGTAAGCACACGCCGCCCAAAGTCAGCTCGTAGAACCTAGTGAGTATCATACCTGACAAACCCTGCGTGTACAAGTAAGTAGCAGCATCTTTTGTCCCGATAAACGTGCGTTGCGCACATCTGATCACAGCTCAGACGGTGTGGCTGTACATTGTAGCTAAACTTGCAATGAAGAGGAATGTTGGCGCTGTCCAAGCATATATGCCATCGATTGCGGGCAGATGCTTGACACAGTCACAGTCAAAGGTAAGCTCCTGCATCATAGTGCTTCGTTAAAAGCTGTCATCCTTGCGACAAGAATCGATTTTACGCCATGTCAGATGTTTATGAGTCTGTGTGTCGTGCAAATAGAAGAGCAAAAGGCCTGACGTATAATGTTATCGCTTGTACTGTAAGATCTAGTGACAGATGACACGGAAACGTTGAGGAAGCAAAAAATGTTTTTGATGCGCTTGCTTTTCGATGGAAAAAAATAAATGAGCGCTGGACCTAATGGGCTAGCGTAGGCAATTAATCTCATGCTCATGTACGACGAACTTATTGTACAGCGCTTCGATATGCGCACTCGTCCTGTGGGATGCAGTTTATCACTTGGCAGGCATCGTCGACCCGCCCCAGCGACTTTGACAAGTAACATACTAGCGTGGACCAGCTACCGAGATCGGCAGTATGCTAAATCGTATCATTGAACAACTTCATATAATAATAAGGGATACTTACGCGTGCATTGAAATCGTCAGCAGGCTTGCCTCGATGTCAGGCAACTCCTTGTATCGCCAGGCAGCTCCATGTGTTGCCAGGATGCACTGTGGCTGTGTTTGTGTGGCACGACAGTTACACGCCTTACGTAATACTGACGCAAAACAGCGCATGCTGCCTCACCTACGCACCACTTGTCCTTCTGCCTCTCCAACTTTCAGCTGTACTTGACTAGTCTCTCAGCTTAGCGCTTTGCGGAAGCTCTCGTGACAAACAAAGACTGGTGGACGCGACAGCAATTTTCTGCGCCCACACTTTGGAAAATTGATTTGGCTCTTTAGAAATGTAGCGCAATTGTTTCAGCAGTTCGTGCTTCATACCAAGTCATCATTTTGTCCTAAAGTATGCGAACGTAGCGTGATGCGTCTTCTAGCAAAAGCTTGGGAGCTGAGCAATAGATTGTTTACCGACACATCATCGATACGAAAAACAGAAAATACCATGTTCGACCGGATGATCTTGTTATCAAGTATACCCACTCTATTTCCAACAACGGTGACTCGCGTCCGTATCAATGTGCATATTTGTAAATGGAATACTGGCGAAAGTGAAGGTAGATCGTACCACCAAAGGCCACACTTTTCCGTTTTTGTCAGAAAGAGCATACAGACAATACACGTTAATCTAGACCTCTATGCGATTGTACGTGTACCGTACGACATCGCCTGATCATGGCGTCTACTCGAGGTGGACCGTACTACTTACGCGTCGATAATGCCCGTACTGTTTTCTCGTCGACAAGGTTGTACACCAGAAGCCCTCGCAGATTCACTACCGGTATATTCAGCATTTGTCGAAATGATTCTTGCTCTGTGCTTATCTTGTTACACAGAATCTAAATGCATACTTGTACCTATGTGAGACTACGAGTGCTCTTCTGACAAAAGACCAGACCCTCGTGAAAACGACAGAGTCTCCCATTATTCTGCTTCCAAGCACGTTCACAAAGTTGTAGCGTCCACTCCGATGCTCGTAAGCAGATCTTCAGCTTGCGTCAGTACTACAAGTTCAGCGCTGTCTTCAGGTGTTCCGTCGTGCAGCTTGGAATCCCTCTCCAGTGTCTTTAACTGAGATATACAAGCACGTGCTTCCGTCAGCATTGCCTCGTCGTCCATCAGCCCACACCGAACGGCTGTTTCCAAAGCGCCTCGCAGTGTTCCAACACGAAAACCACGTGCTGCTCCTTGCGCATAACCAGCGTCAAACCCTTCTTGCAACGTGATCTCCTTACCGAGCTCGAGACCGTCTTGAATACCCATCTAATATTGCGAAAAGAACAGAGACGTCATCAGTGAGTCCAATACAATACAATAAGGTTTAAAGTGTGACATAAATTATGGTATTTCGAGCTGAGTTGCGTCCGATAGGACTAAAAGAGGCGCTTACGGTCTTCATGCGACGCTCAAGTGCTGCGCTTTCCTGCGTCAACAGCGCCTCTTGATCGCCACTGTTGTCGCTCAGAAAGTCCTGGAAGCCGTCGTCCGAGTCGCTACGGCTATCGAGCGGCACTGCCATTGCTAAAAGGTACTGTTTAGTGCTACTGCAGGTCACTGAAGCAATGTGCGCTGCACGGACCGTTACTATCGCAACCTTTTGGCGATACTTTTTACAAATTAACACAAGCCTTGTGTCTTGAATTTGTATGGAAACTCGAGACTAACTCGTTGTAGGACCAATTTGATACCAGAAAAAACAAAATGCTGCAAATAAAACTCCACCGTTTTTAGCGAAAGAATAGACAGACTCGCTGTGTACCTCATGTCCCCAAACATTTGCGTTCTCGACAGCATTGCTGATTGTCATTGTCGACAAGACGGATACCTCACGCCCTCGTTCGCGTGCTTGCAGCGAGCAAAACTCTCTTGTGACGATCGGTGAATATGCAATATAAGCCTGGATGTTATTCCGCGGTGGCTGAATTGAAATGCGTGTCCATATACGTCAACGCGTGCAAACAAAGTTTTGGTCAGCTCATGGTTGCAAGCCCAGCATGTCTCCATGTCGCAACGACACAAGTTGGTGTCCAAGCAGCTTCAGCATACATAGCAGCAAATTGCGCACGCCGAGGTAGCAAGCGAAAAGTATCGACAGTGTGTATCCGTAGAGGCGAACTCAAGCTCATCGACATCAAATATGCAGCTGCGATCCGCATAAGCCGATAGCACCGATTACGCTGGTACGACAACGCGGATGGACGCACACGATGACAGCAAATGCAAACTTTCGCGCATACCGATATCTCATGCAGTAAGAAGTCGAGCACACTCGCTCACTGCTCGGGCATGACGTCATGGACGGTGACCGAGTTCGGTAGTAAGCGTTTGTTCGATTACAAGGACTGCTATTTCACCATCCACTGTAACAGAGAAGGCGCTTGGCATACCTGAAGCAACGACACCAACGCAGGCCGTTGGCACTCCACATTCTTGGATGCGATGGAAGTTGCGGATCGCGGACTTAAGCTGGCGGAGCTGATGATATCGATATAGCACTAGACGCACAATGCCAGCACACTCGTTCACTGCTCTAGAACCTGAGAATTAGCAGCAGTTTAGAAACAGCGGCTATACCAGCGCTAGTCAGCACGGAGATAAGTTTGCTCTCGTAAATGCGCCAGCGCCCACAGAGACGCCGAGGTGCAAACGACGACGTCTACATGGCTGTCGTGCACAGAGCTAGCGCACCAGCTCCACCCCTTCTTCAACATCGTACGCTATATTACTTGCCGTGAAGATGTCGTCGACGACCCAAGACACGGCAACCAAGGTAGCACTAGCAGGGGACTGCTTGCCCACTTAGTGTTGCTCCTACATCTTCCTACGTGCCTACATTGGTTTGTCTAGCAATCGCCGCTCGCCGCGAAACTACAAGATTGCTCGAGACCAGAGAACGTTCGGAACTATCAGGGTTTCGAAATGCTGTCAATAAAGCCACACCACATGACAAATGTTTAGGTACTTGGCAAGTAAGTTTCTCCTCAGCAATGGCCTCACGTTGGTAGCGCTTTGTTTGTGTTGTACATTTCGAACAGCAAGATCAGTTGCCATACGTATCGTTCATCAGATTGAACCTGCCTAATCATCACAGCTTTTGCTGTCCAGACCTTTTACGTGCATCCTGTTCATCTTTCGTTGCCGCCCTTTTACTAGCTGCATACTTTGCTGCTACCTCAATCTCGTGTCTTGCACTCGTATCTGCTCTTATAGCTGGCCCTGTCAAACAGGCTAAACGCGCTCACCTCTTCCATTAGGAAACAATTGCTCCGACCACGTGGTCATTGAAGTCATCTACTTGATCGCGAGCACAAATCCTTCAGCTTTGCACTTGGTCACACGATATGTCCTCTCATAGTTTTCCATGTGGCCGCCTAAGGGTGTCAAGGCAGCAGAACGACAAAGCTTGAGCGAACAGGATCGTGTCATGGCAGATGAATGAGGCGAGGGCCACACCTCAGCTATCTCTGCAGCAAGAAGTGCTTCCGAAAACAGTCGAATCCCTCAAAATGCTCAATCAGTACTCCTGGCCGCTCGTATTCGAACGATGTGGTAGACAACAACCTATGCGGCACCATCTCATCATTCTTGGACTTAAACTGCATCCACTGTATCTACTTGCTTAGCGGACGCTGCAAGCTCGTTGACCTCTATCCACACGCGTGTCTTTACCATTTCTTACAACCCATTCACAGCAGTTTCGCTGCATTCTACCGCCTTATAACAGTGCTTTAGCGACGCGCGGGGAGTGTGTGCGTCACACAAAACGACGGAAGCACGTAGTATAGAGGACGCTATTTTAGCTCACAGGACAGGACATGAAGGTGGCAGCGCCACGTGCAGGCTCCACCAGTCACGTGTGGGGCTACGTAATCGTGTTACTCGCGGCCCTGGTCTTTATTGCATCCATGTACGATTGCTGCCCGCAGCTAAATGAACCTCTTCCGTCCAATATGATTTCTTCTTCTCCATTTACAAACAACTTCTCTCTCACACCTTCTTGTCGATGATCACTGATAGGTATGTCATGATCTTCTCGAAACTGCTGCTACTTTTTCTTCCAGAGACCTCTGCCACAGCTGAAGCGACAGATCAAATGGCCATCAAAAGCTCTGAAGACCAACAAGTGAGCGTCAGTCTCTTGCGCGCTCTCGAGAGCGACGTGTACTACTGCTACTTGGTGCCCCTCACGATCCCTGTGACCATCTTGACGTGCTACGCCAACTGGGTCGGCCTCAAGTTCTTCCGCCACAACTGAAACTCTGCAGTCAGCTGCACGTGTGGCAAAGTCCAGCGGTCAAACAAGTTGCGAGTCGCAGCGTCAACTGTATCATGAAATCTTTCGCGTCCGTCCGTCACCTCTCGACATCCTCTTCCACCTCTTCACTCTCGTTCCGCAGCTCACAACTTGACGGGCACGACGCAGTTACAGTCGGTGTCACTGCCTCCGACTTCTGCTTCTCCGTCTCACGTACCCTACGTGCCAGCAGCTTGAGAAACGCAGCCTGCTTTGGGTTCGCCCGCACACTCGCTAGCGTCCAGCCGCCCTTGTTGCCCGCAGTCGACAGCGCCTTTGTCCGCTTCACGGCGGCTTGAGAGAGCTTCACGTAGCGGTTGAAAGCGCCGCTGTGTTCGGGGAACTTAGCGACACACGCGCCGATTTCGCTCGGAAACAGATTAAAGCCCACGATCACGCGCTTCACGGACACCTTCGCGTCTTTCACAGATGACAATGACGTCGGCAGTGAACGCACGCGACCGCCAAAGTGAGGCAGCTCGCCATCACACACGATCCCTCGACGATACACGTACGGGACACGTTCCCATCCAGGTTCAGTCTGGCTCAGCTCCTCCAGCTCATCCGTTGTCAGTCGCGTTGACCGCTTGCGCGTCTTGTGGCCGTACTTTTCATAGTGGTCTAGACCTTTGACATTCACGTACAGACTTCCGCCTTCGAGTACACCCGTCTCCCGCTGCCCCTCTTCGACCAGTTCCTCGTCAGTACAAGTAGCGCCACTCTTACTACTACTACTACTACTGCTACTTCGCAGTGGACTCACGTGCAACGTAGCGCCATAGATGGGCGGAAAGAGCACATTGGTCTCGTATCGGACCTGCTCGGCATAGTCCACGTGGTACTCCGTCTCATCGTCGCAATCGGAGGCAATGACCCACACGGCCACTCCGTGCTCACTGGTTTCGTTGATGTACAGGGGCCAGTGGACAACGCCAGGATCTAGAAGGCGGGCACAGGACAAGAATTCAAGCATTGTGATCGACTATTTCGCTCGGCATGACAATCTTGTTATTCTTTTCCGACGCGCACGTCTCTACAAACGATGACAATATGCAGCTACACACTCGTGTCGGGCAAATCTGTATCGTGCTTGACAGGATGACTGGGAAACAAGTGTGGATACGCCGTCGCGCTCAAGCTGCTGATGAGCCTACGTCATGTAGAGTGCTAGGTTGCAAAGGTACAGTAGTGCACCATTGCAACCTAGCACTGCAAAAGTGCGTACAAACAGGAGATGCTACGGTAACGAGACAAACAGAAGATGCTAAGGTTAAGAAGCCACTGTTTTCACCGCAGCTGTCTACTTATATCTAACAGTTTCTCGGCGCATGTAAATTCTTATTACTAGGTCACTTTTCTGTTAAATGAATTGCTCAGCCTCGAGCGTATATGGATACTGATAGCTCGAGCTTTGGTAGACGAAGGCACCGCGGAACGCACTCAGTAAACTGCATTAACAAGATGAGGCGGAGTCCGGATTACGCGTGTCGAGGCTATTGCATTTTGGAATTCAAAATGAGATTAAACTTGAGATCACGTACGTGCTCATACCTTGTCCTAAAATCTTAAACGCATCTCGTGCATGTAAATTTTAATACACGATTATTCAATTCTCTCTATACGAAGTGCATGATTACATGTATGATAAATTAGCTCAAGGATATACGTGGCATCTCTATCACTGATTATTGCAACAAACAAGTAGATGCGTGCAGAAATTGGCATGCTTATGATACAACAAAAAAGCTTGATTGGAAGACATTCATTACAATAATTCGTCTGATGTCAAAGCATTTATTATATTAATATTAGCTTTTCTATCATAGCTGTCAACGTTGAGGAACGTGATGTATGCAAGAAGAACATGTATAGATTCAGTGCGTTATCGAGAAGTGGTGGGGCGTGCCGAAAATTGCTTTGAAACATCAAAAGTAGCACCACCATCACCACCCTATCTTATAAGCACCCATCATATAAGTTCAAGTCTCGAAGTAATGAAGTTTTTCTTCATAGGTAGCAGATATCCGTAAGCATTGTCGTATTTGGAGTGGCCGGACGGATATTGTATCTGTGTTTAATCAAGTGTGGGATATACACTTAGATACAGAAGATGCCACACTTAATTCGATACTTCCTGGTAGTTCCGTATCAAGTGTGGCATCTTTGATGCCCAAGTCATAGTATCCTGCTCCATGGATGTCGGTGATCCACCGAAAGAGGTGGAGTCTGTCCACGATACAACTGATTGTAGCACTGTCTTCTCGGAGTGGTTTCTCTTCTCGGATCATAATCATACTGCGAATTTGACTGCCCTTGTCCTCCAGAAACTTGAAACAATTCTTGATCGCTTAGTATAGCTGCTTGTTGATACACTTGTCCAGTTCGCGACATAGAATCATTGACACTCGCAGAAAACCTTTATGAATGGCTTTGAAAAGAAGGGTATGAGTGGCCTGTTGAACATCATGGATACAAATAAATTAGACAAATACCTTAAAGATGCCAATACCACCTACCTGTGACGCCTGTTGCCAGGCTTGATTGTTTGCTGCAATAATTTGTTGAGCGCAGCGAAATTTGTTCCCCCTCCAGAAATCTGAAACCAGTATCTATATAAGTCGCGAAAGGATCAAATGAAGGTAAACAGTAAGCTTTGCAGCACGTACCTGGCTCTAACCTGTATAACGTCAGTGCATTTCCATTGGCTCGAACCTGTCTTACGTCCGTGCAGCACCTTAGTCCAAACTTTTTTTACGTCAGTGAAGAACCTTAGATCAAACTTGTTTTATGTCAGTGCAGTAGGCGGCTCCGAAGTTCTTGGTGTATATTTTCAGACGCTAAGGCGCAACGTTTAGCAATAGTGTGGGGGAGAGGACTGTCGTCTTGAAATATATGATACGTTCGTATTGATCGCAAGACGCGATGCTATGTACCGGTAACGTTTTGTCATCTGTCAAGACGAACACAAATTACGACATATCAACAACTGATCACACTCTACCCTATCTATAAGAGACACCTTTTAGCCCATTTTTTTCAGCGTGTCTTATAAAAAGTCTTATATAGAGAATATGAAAGGAAGAAGTTGCATGATATATTTTTATAGCGTGATCGCTAATTATAATGGAATGTAACGTCTTTCTATTATATGAAGTCTCTAATGACGAGCTGTTTTGCCCTAGCGTTCTAGTTCTTGCGAATACCGACGACATCTTATCCAGATCTGATTGTATGATTCGCGTGTCCTCATCTGAGCGCTTGAAGTACGAACGCAAAAGCAGTCAGCACTATAATTCTTCATTTAACTAACAGGCGCTTGATCTTCGTCGCTTTCGACTTCCGCGGGCTCTACTTCTGCTTCCATCAGAGCTTCTTGTTCTTTGGTTATTTGCTCGTGGTCCTCGAATTCGACATAGTCATCCACACTAGCGTTTACACCAAGCTTTTGAAACATAACAACCAGATCGCAGCAGTTTTGTTAATAGACGAGTCTGGACTGTCGACAGTCGTTTTATGCACGCAAATAAGCAACCTGTGGCGCTTCGATGATCTCACTCTTGATCCAGCAACTTAAAATGACCCCCCCGCTAATACTGATCCAGATCTCAGAAGGAAACTCAATGACTTCTAGGACATTATGTCTGCGTTCCATGTTTGCGTCGATCAGATCCATGCGCCATCGCATATAAAGTTTCTTGTAGCGGTCTTTAAACGATCGGATGATACCTATATAACATATATGTAAGTAAGGAGATTAATGTAGATTTAAGACACACATATTTAAATATGAGATAAATGCGTGCTACATCGAGCGGCTGGATAGTGGAAGTCATGCTAGGCGAAAAATACCAAATTGACGTTATTGGGTTCTTGTCGGACCTTGTGAAGTGAAGCATTATCGAGAAGTAGCAGGACTTTGCGACCATGCATTCGTAGATTAAATTAATACATCCACGTATCAAAGACAATTGCATTCATCCAGAAGTATGAGTTCGCAGCGTTCACGATGCCACGCTTCTCGATCTATTCACCCTCCAATCACCTTGTCTTTTAAAATTTCCGATGATCAGGTGCTCCGGCTTTTCAGATCCACTTGCGTTGCAGCACAGAGCAACTGTTACGCGAGAATTTACGCTCTTCTTTCCGTTGTTATGAACCGTGGATTGGGTTTTGTTCGGTATAAATTCGAAGTAATGCTGTCTCATCAATTTTCATATATCACTCGGCGAATTTTTGTTCACTCAGAAATCGAATCTCATACTTTGCTGCTTGCACATACTCGATAAATAAGCTCCCGCTCTCGCCTGTCAACGCGCGGCTTTTGATGTTGTTCCGCTTCTTGAAAATCTGGAGTCAGCCTTTGGAAAGCTTGAGATCGTGATCTTTGATATCATGGCTCACTTGTAGTCGGTCTGCTTTCTCTAGTACCATTCTTCTAATAAATCGTCACTCTCGCGCTCGAGAACGAATTCTAGCAGCTCCTTCTCAAGGTCAGGATGATTTACATGTCGTTTATTTTTTACATTAGGGTAAATGACCTAATAGGTCAATTTATTTCATGGCCCTGAGCTGATGCGCCGTTGATTTACTAATGATGTGCTGGATCTGTAACGGGTTTAGCCCGTTACTAAAGAAAGGATATCTTTGTATCAATTTTTGAACATTATCTATTTAGATCGTGTTAGATTGACTTTACTCGTAAGGAGCAGGGTTGAAGGAGTATTACCCCCGAGGGTAATATTTCTTTGATGGGTTGCTCAACATGATGGCTGATGTTCACGGTACATTAACCGGATTAACCACCAATCGCTACTGAACGCGCCAATAGTGGTGAGCGGGAAGCCCATGTAGGAGATTGTAGTTTAATGTAGTTAGCTCAGGACAAAAGATGGGTTATCAAGAAACATAACTATATCAAACACAATTGTAATTTTTTCCATAGACAGAACTTTCGAGTTCAGCCTACTTCGCTGCTTATTCTCACGCCACATGTACGTGACGTCGGTTGCACATAACCTTGCGTCGAATTGACACGAGGCGTGCCCCGTTACACCTGGCAGCACTTTGCAGTCTGTGCAGCGTCCACAACTACCTTACCTGACATGAACATGTTGGAAGAGGAGTAGATCTTTAAAGCCACGCTTGAGGGCTTCAACCATTTGAGAGAAAGATAATGGAAAGCAATGGGACGAATGAGTTCTTCCGTCGAAGAAACTGCCATTAGCGCCATGTTGGATTCCCTTGACAGGGATTAACAACATGCCGCTATAGCCAAGTTCATTCAAAATGTACATGTCGCCGAAAGGGAGAAAGTAGCCTTGCTTCACCAGCAAGGCTATCAACAGGCCGAGCAGGTGAGATAAATTGGTGCTTAACAGACAGAGCTGTTGAGACAGCAGGAATTCCATACTGCTTTGGGCGAGACGGCACACACGCGTCGTCCCGAAATCTTGAAGATTAATGTCTCCAAGTACAGAGGAGTCGAGGACGGCTCCCTGTTTTTATGGTTCGTCGAACTAGACAGATCCATAAAGGCACGTCGTATCGACGATGAGCAAATTAAAGTCACATTTGATCAAGCCCACTTGGTAGGACGTGCCAAGACTTATGCGTTATAGATCGAGATGCGCGACATGTATGCTTTAACTCGCTAGAAACCTGTAGGATCCAGCTCAATCAATTGTTTGAAACGCCTGGAGATGAATTCAGGGCTCGATCAGAGCGACTGAAAATCAAACAGATTAAGCGTGATGTGTGCGCTTGCGCTCAGCATATACGACTCCTCTTGAGTAGTATAACTGCTGACCCTGTACATGAACACACGCTGATTACTATGTTCGTTGAAGGCTCGCAGATGGTCCCGTCAGGAACCACCCGTCCCGCTTAGAGTTGGATACGCTTGAACAAGCAATATCAGCTGCGGAATGGGAGGACTCTAGCATGAGGAAGAATCATGATATATCTAGCTCTTAT